CTTGGAGACTTTGTTCATTCCTTTTTGCGCTTTTTTCTCTGATCTTGGTTTCTCGTTTTATTTCATTGAGTTGGTCTTCGACTTCAGATATTCTTTCTTCTGCTTGGTCAATTCGGCTATTGAAACTTGCGTTTGCTTCGCGAAGTTCTCGTATTGTGTTTTTCAGCTCCTTTAATTCATTCATATTCCTCTCTAAGGTATCTATTCTTGTTATCATTTCCTCGAATCTTTTTTCAAATCTTTTTTCAAGGTTCTTAGTTTCTTTGCATTGATTTAATACATGATCTTTTAGCTCACAAAAGTTTCTCATTATCCATCTTCTGAAGTCTAATTCCGTCATTTCGTCACAGTCATTCTCCGTCCAGCTTTGTTCCCTTGCTGGTGAGGAGTTTTGGTCCTTTCTAGGAGGCGATGTGTTCTGGTTTCGGGTGTTTTCCTCCTTTTTGCACTGGTTTCTTCCCATCTTTGTGGATTTGTCCGCTGGTCGTCTGCGTAGTTGCTGACTTTTCGTTTGGGTCTCTGAGTGGACACCCAGAATGTTGATGATGAAGTATTTCTGTTGCTTGGTTTTCCTTCTACCAGTCTAGCCCCTTCGCTGTACGACTGTTGAGGTCCGCTCCAGACCCTGCTTGTCTGGGGTGCACCTCTAGTAGCCGTGGCACAGCGAGGGATGCTACCAGTTTCTTTTTCTGCTCTCTTTGTCCCAGGATGATGCCTGCCTAATGACAGTCTTTTGGATATAGAGGGGTCAGGGAGCTGCTTGAGGAGACAGTTTGTACTTTATAGGGGTTTAATTGCTGAGCTGTGCACTCTGTTGTTCATTCAGGGCTGTTAGGCTGCTATGTTTGATTCTGCTGCAACACAGCTCATTAAACAACCCTTTTTTTTTCTCAAATGCTCTGTGTTGAGGGGTTTGGGCTTTATTTTTGGATGTCCGATCAGGTGTCCTGCCCAGCTCGAAGGCAGACTAGCCACTGTTTGGCTGCCGAGGCTCCGCCCTGCTGTTGTGTGATTCGCGCTGTTCCTGCCGGCTCTGCTGTGGTCTCCGCCACGCCCTGCGGTGGAGTCTCTTCGTTGTAGCGTGTTGCCTCAGCAACGGCAGGCTGCGTCAGCAGTGGGCGTGTATCTCAGTAGGGACGGGTTGCCTCGGCAACGGCTGGCTGTGTCAGCAGTGGGCGTGTATCTCAGTTGGGGCAGGTTGCCTCCGTAGTGGTGGACGCCCCTCCCCCACAGAGCGTCTCGGACCGTCTGCCCGGGATAGTTTGAAATCGCGGTTTTGTTCGTCCCACTGGGTATCCCAAACGATCTGTCCCTGCAATCCCCTGGGCTGGGCTACTGTGCAAGTCTCGTTCAGTCTCAAGTCCAGCCCTCTCAAGTCTCAGGCTGCCAGTTCAACAAGGCACCCGGACAAGCGCGCCCTGTGGGGATTGCTGGGTAGGGCCGGCTGCCGCCGCCCCGGCTGCCGGCTTCGCCAGGCAGACCTACTGCCTGGCGTCCCGTGTCTTTTTATACTTGGGAGTTTCCCCGTTCTGTGGGCAACAAAGATCAGTCTGGAAATGCAGCACTGACTCACCGTTTGCGAATTCAACGCGGGCTCCAATCCTGGGTTGTTCTCACAGCGCCATCTTGAGTCCGGTTCTCCTTCTTTTTTTTAAAATGCAGTTTATGCATAAGGTAAACAATTTTTTATCTTAATACTGCACAAAAATCTTGTTCAAAAGAAAAAAACAAATTTTAGTTTGACATTAGTATATTTTGATATTAAGGCTCAAGTTTAAAACTCATGATAAATTCATCTAATTTTAGTCAGTCTAACCACACAAGATTTTGAATTCTTATTCCCCCAACTTTCTATATCCTTTTAGTTTTATCATTTTTCCTTTCATCTCGAAACAACCGTTAAATAGCTTTTAAACTAGACAAAATTACATTTAACAAAAACGTCTTTTTGTCTTCTTTATAACCTTCCTTACCAAAATACGTCATACCTTCTTCATCCACTCTGCATACAGAATTGTTCCTCTTATATCTAGTAGTTTTAATTATGGTTCAACTTGAACAATGCAGGGACTAAGGGCACTGATCCTCCTTACAGTCAAAAATCTGTGTATAACTTTTGACTCCCCCAAAACTTGACTAATAGTCCACTTTTGGCTGGAACCCTTACCAATAACATAAATACTAAATAAACACATATTTTGTATATGTGATGTATACTGTATTCTTACAATAAAGTAAGCTAGAGAAAAGAAACACAAGGAAAAGAAAATATATTTATTCCTTATTAAGTGGAAGTGGATCATTATAAAGGCCTTCATTCTTGTCATCTTCATGTTGAGTAGGCTGAGGAGGAAGAAGAGGAGGGATTTGTCTTGCTATCTAAAGGGTGGCAGAAGCAGAAGTGAAGGAGGTGAATGCGGAGGCAGGAAAGGCAGGCATATGGTTGGGGGTGTGGAGGTGTCAGAGGTGTTTAAACCAGAACAACTCCATCTTCAATAGGACCTGGGTAAAATAAGGCTAAGACCTGCTGGGCTTCATTCCCAGTATGTTAAGGCATTCTTAGTCACAGGATGAGATAGGAGGTAGGCACAAGATACATGTCATAAAGATCTTATTGATAAAACAGGTTGCAATAAAGAAGCTAGCCAAAACCCACCAAAACCAAGATGGCGATGAGAGGGACCTCTGGTAGTCCTCACTGCTACAATCCCACCAGCACCATGACAGTTTACAAATGCTATGGAAATGTCAGGAAGTTACCCTAAATGATTTTAAAAGGGGAGGCCTGAATAATACACCCCTTGTTTAGCATATCAGAAAGAAATAACCATAAAAATGGGCAATCTGCAGCCCTCAGGGCTGCTCTGTCTGTGGAGTAGCCATTCTTTATTCCTCTACTTTTTAAATAAACTTGCTTTTACTTTATGAATTCGCTTCAAATTATTTTATGTGCAAGATCCGAGAACCCTCTATTGGGGTCTTAATCTGGACCCCTTTCTGGTAACAGGGAGACAGGACAAGGTTAGAGGAACCTTGATTCCGAGACAGCCCCTAAGGCCTCTTAGCATGTCAAAGTGCCAGTCTGTAAGGCTCTGGTTCTCTTTGACAGGAGTAAAATAAATTATTTAACATGAGTTCATTTTTCTATCCTTATGAGAGTCGTGATTTTACCTTTTTCTGAAAATTGCCTTTTAACAGCCTTCTCTGTCTCTCACCGAAGCATATCTCTCACTTTTTCAAAGAAAAATTGATTTAATACATATCTCTTCCAATCTTTATGATGTGTTCCTTTAGTGTTTAACCACTTGATGTGTGATAAATCTGTGATGTTGTTGCTTTGTTCTTATGAGGATTTACTATCTAAAATTGGATCAAGTGCCCAAGACTGAAGTCATGTGTTTCTTTGATATACCCAAGCAAGGATCATGCATAAGACTCTGTGGAATTTACGTTTGCAGTAACATACTTCTAGGGTGTCAGCCTGACAGCCACCTCCGCAAAGGCAGAGGCAGAAGGCAGGAATAATGCAAAAAAGGCAGTGGAGCTCAGAAAACAGCCATTAACAGAGCCCATGCTCTAAAACTGACCTATTTCATTGCCCTGAGCCCTCATTCAGACTTTGGAATTCTTCCCCTTATACAACACTCACTAACAAGCTTGTTTGTCTAGTTTCCTCCTATAGCAAATTAGAAGTGATGACCTTAAGTAGGCTCTTAGAAATAGGCATGTTGACAGAAGAGTAAGGAATAGCTGTTGAGTAACTGAGGGAAAGGATTTTTTTAAGTAAACCAAATAAAGTTAATGATTATATTGCTGGTTACTTTAACAGCAATGGATGTCTATAGAAAAGGGCTTGGAACTGTGAGTAATATCTTCTACTAATGTAGCACAAAATATAATGGATTGTTGGAAGATGTACTTTTTTTTAATACCTGCCCCTTTTAATCACAAAATAATGCAACGCTCTATTGATTCTGCTTTCTTCAGTTCCAACTGTAGCCTTGACAAAACATGTCCCTATTAACTGAATTGTAAAAAATACAACCAAGCTTGTGCTCATTAAATATACATGTATATAAAAAACATACAAAAAGTGTAAGATTGTGTTAGGAAATGTTTACAGTGTCAACATCCTGATTTCTCAAAATCTTCAGTAAAGGGCCAAAGGTCAAATCTTTCTGTGCACAAAATCTGAATGTGACTGAAATCCTGAATCGGTGTCATGCCTAGGCAGGCTATGCACAGAATGAATTTTAATATCCAGTCCTCTTTAAGAAAAGGACAAAAAAGTAACCAAAAAAAACCCAAAAACACACTACAGGACAAAAAGTTCTTCTTAAATCAAATTCTATTTGTGAATTCAGCAAAATGATTTCTATAAATTAAAATAGCAAAATATTTAAATAGAATACGGTGGGCTGTATCTGTTTGCAGGGGTATTTGGTTTTTAGACAGGTTCCAAAAAATTACACACATTCAAGTTACCAATTCTTTCAAATACAGTATTAACTGAGGAGTTCCTTACTTTTAATCAAACGTTTATTCTGAAATTGTGGTATCTCAATTATATTAACTAACCAGTAGTTTCTTTTTTAATTAGACCCTGCTTTGAACGTTAGACTTTCTGGAATAATGGAAAAGGAGCTAGGACAATTCTTGCTTTCAAGTAAAATTGTGACTGAGCAGAAAATCAGCCAGTTATCTTGGTGCAGAGAGGTACTCCAAGTACCGTGGGGTTCTGATGACTTCCACGTCACTGGGATCCAGCAGAAGGAAAGTTTTAGAAGATTCACCCAATAAAGTCTACCAAAGAAATAAAACAAGCACACCAATTACAGTCTTCTATTATGCTCCACCATCTTGGCATAGCAAATTTTTGCATATTTGTTTTAAATCTTTTAAAATTCCCATTACTGATACTTAAGTGTTCTTTATCCCACCCAGAGATTGAACTGTCAAACATTATATATAAGGAACCTTGCTCTTCGAGGTTTTTTTTCTTTTTTCAAGGAAATCAAATCGTCAATGAATGAAAAACTCAGTGCCATCTGGAGCCTGGGGTCACCGGAGCAGGTGGAAGGTCAGCCAGTATATGATGAGGGGCTGGAAGGCTGCAGCTCCCAGAGTCAGGTAAAGCTGGAGATGCTGCTGGGGGACAGAGCCCCCCACACTGTCGGGGCCCAGGGCTGCTGTCCACAAAGAGCACACAGTGAAGTACATGAGCGCCGACGAGGTCCAGGCCAGTGCCACATAGTAGCCATCGCTGCCGAACAGCAGCCCTGTGAGCACACTGAGGATCATTCTTTTCTGAATGCCCAGTGCCATCCCAGCCAGAAGCGCGTAGGTGATGAAGGCCATCGTGGGGATATAGAGGTCAGGGGCGTTGAGGTCTTGCAGGGTGGGGGGAGGCACATTCCTTTATGGGACATAAATATGCATATAAGGGACTGGATATTCCTGGTCTCATCCTCCCAACCCACGCTCTGCTCCGAGATACAGAATACACCAGGCAACGCTGTCTCTAAGGTTGGAATGTCCCTCCTTGCCAACTGCCCGGCAAATGTTGAGTCATCCTTTAAGTCTAGGCCGAAAGATGTTCTTCTCTAAGAAGCATCCCAGATGCTGGCTTACATATCGCACTAACAGGTCCTTGAGGAATCGTCTTGAGACAGAGTCTCACTCTGCTTCCCAGGCTGGAGTGTAGTGGCATGATCTCGGCTCACCGCAACCACCCCTTCCCGGGTTCAAGAGATTCTCCTGACTCAGCCTCCCCAGCAGCAGGGACTGCAGGCATGCACCACCATGCCCAGTTAATTTTTATATTTTTAGTAGAGATGGTGTTTCACCATATTGACCAGACTGGTCTTGAGCTTCTGGCCTTGTGATCCACCCGCCTCAGCCTCCCAAAGTGCTGGGATTATGGGCTTGAGCCATCACGCTCAGCTCAACATATCTTTCGGGAAGATGCATTTAACCTATAACACTCACCAGGTGGAGATTAGTATCGATGACACTGATATACAAACGGCGTGGGACACTGGACTCGCTTGCTAGGGCTGCCATATGAAGTATCACAGACTGGATGGCTTAAACAACAGGAATTCATTTTCTCCCAGTTCTGGAGGCTGTTTGCCTGAGATTAAGGCACTGGCAGGGTTGGCTTCTTCTGCGGCCTCTCTCTTGGTCCCCTAGGGGACCTCCTTGTTGTGTCCCCACGTGGTCTTCCCTCCATGCATGTCTATGTTGCAAGCCCCTTTTCTTATAAGGGCACCGTTATTGGTTAAGACAACCCCCACCCAACTCATCACAACCCCCACCCAACTTACTTCATTTGGGCCTAATTACCTTTTTGTTGTTGTTGTTGTTGTTGTTGTTAAGATACGATCTTTCTCTGTCACCCAGGCTGGAGTACAGTGGCATGATCACAGCTCACTGTAGCCTCAAACTCCCAGGCTCAGGTGATCCTCCCCCTTAGCCTCCTGGGTAGCTGAGACTACAGGAATGTGCCACCATGCCCAGCTAACTTTTTATATTTTTTGTAGAGATGGAGTTTTACCTTGTTGCCCAGGTTGGCCTTGAATTCCTGGGCTCAAGTGATCTGCCCACCTCGGCCTCCCAAAGAGCTGGAATTACAGGAGTGAATCACCACTTCTGGCCCAATTACCTCTTTAAAGACCCTGTCTGCAAATACAATACCATCCTGACATACTGGGACTTAAACATACGAATTTGAGGGAAACAGAATTCAGCCCATAATGTCCACGAATTACAAATAATGAAGCCTACAGTAGTCCTTAGTATCAACTCTGCAGATAAGGAATTGGTTCTCTTGGAATACTTTTATTACCTTTTGCCAAACTCTGTACCCGTAGCCAATCTATGGTTTCAGCTGACTAAGTATCATCCCAACATGAATGTTGATATTTTCGTTCACATGAGTGAGTCATACAGATGTGAAACAAAAAAGTGAAGGATTCATATATATGACATGCTTCTATTCATAAGTGTATTATATTTGGTATACTGAAAGACAGAGAATACATCCTGATTATTGTTTGGTTAGCATTATGATATCAGTACCAGCTAAGGCACTTACATTAGATTCTAATGATCAGAATACTGGGAAAAAAAACACTGATCATCATTTAAAAAACAGCTGCTGAAGACACATCTTACAGTCAGCTACTACAAGATATACCACTTTAGCATAAGGATTGTTTGTTTTGAGCTGATTATTTTGAGAAACTGCAGACACATAAAAAGCTCTGAAAATTGAGTAGAAGTTACTATTTTATAAGGGAAATTCACATGTATAAATGAAATCACAATTTATAAGGGTGTCTCTCAGTACCAGGAAGAAAATGATGACTGTAAATCACTAGAGACTCTTACCAATGGGGAAGGCATGAACTTAAATCTGTATAGCAACACTTGCCCTTGTTTTCCTTGCTTTTCCTGGTCATCTCCCCATAAATGGCCTCCCCAATACTGAGGAGGGAGACCCAGGCATTTGGGATTCCCTCCCCCTCTGTCTTCCACTGTGCATCTCAATAGAAGAGAGTAGGCCAGCTGGCACCTCCTGAATCTCTTTCCTGAAAACAACAGGTTAGGCCTTGGGGAAACTCTCCAGAAGGCACTATTTTTACTTAAAACAAGATCAAACTAGAAACCTTTTCACATGTGAGTCCTAAAACTGTAAACCGGAACCCTTTCCTTTGTGATTCCTAACACTGTAAACTAAAACCTTTTCACATGTGAGTCCTAAAACTATGAATCTAAGGTTCTTCCATGTGTAACATCTAAAGTATAAGCCTATATAAAGGCTGAATCTCCCTTTGTTAAACGAGCTTGGCTGTTAGGCACCTATGCCACTTTGCTCCCAGCTAAAATGAAGTCCTTCCTCCTGTATTCGGTGTCCAAGAGATCCTTTCCCGCGGCAGCTCCTGCTACATTTTGGTGCATTGGCTGGAAAGCGAGTCTCAGATAGCAGATGGCGGGAAAGTCTCCTAGGTGGTTTGCCTAGCCCTGTGGAGCATCCCTGCGGGGGACTCCTGCTCGATGGGGTGACACATCCTGAGAGCACTCCCGGGCAGGTATTTGCCCGGTGGAAAAGCCTCGCCAGAGCAGAGCAAGGAGGCCCTGCAGTGTCGATCCACCCAGTGTCTGAACACCAAGGAGGAACGAATATTTGGGGAAGTCTGGACACTGAATTTGGTAAGATTGAACCTGGGAAAGTAGCCCACCCCATTTTGGGTGGAAGCGTGGCCTGATCACCCATGGGCCCCAGATCGACACGTTGGAAGGTAGCTCTCTGTAACCTTGGAAGCTTTTGCTTATGGTTTTGAATTGGAAGGAGAGCAATTGAATGTGTGTCTGTGTGTGAAGATGTGTCCGACCGGACTCATCAGTCATAAAAGGTATCAGGCCCATTAGGAAGGGCCTCATGCGTCAAGCAATATGTAAGAATTAGAGACAGCCACAGAAGGCTTGAGTGAAGAAGCCTCCGGGCGATTGTAAAAGGATTGAAGTGAATGTAAATCGGAGAGTGCTCCCGGCTGCGTCTTGCTAGGCAGAACTGCAGCGAGTAAACTAGCACTCTCCTAATGATGGGAATTGTTTCTTTGAAGTGTTAATATGGGTCACTCCCATAGCAAGCCCACCCCTTTAGAAACCATGCTGAAAATTTTCAAGAAGGGATTTAGTGGAAATTATAAACGATGACACCAGAGAAATTAAGGGCTTTATGTAGGAAAGATTGGCCAGCATTTGGGGTCGGTTGGCCCTCAGAGAGGACCCTAGACAGGTCCCTTGTCTCGAAAGAAAGGCATGAGGTGATATATGGCGAGCCCATTGCTGCCCGCTTCCCAGAGGGAACTCCCCCTCTGGCAGCCTGTCTGCAACCCAAGGCCGGGGTGCAGATGCCTTTGAGAGAGCAGAGGTACACGGGAGTGGACAAGGATGGACATATGGTAGAAAGGCATGTTTTCATATACCTGCCGTTCACCTCAGCTGATCTTATCAATTGGAAAAATAACCCATCTTATACCGAGAAACCCCAAGCTCTCATTGACCTACTGCAAACTATTATTCAGACTCATAACCCCATTTGGGCTGATTGCCATCAGCTGCTTATGCATCTTTTTAACACAGACGAAAGGCAGAGAATACTCCAAGCCGCTTCTAATTGGCTGGAGGAGCATGTTCCTGCAGATTACCAGAACCCCCAAGAGTATGGAAAAAGGGGGGTTCCCGGAAACCCCCACAGTCTGCCCGCCCGGGCCTGCAATGTGATCAGTGTGCATTGTGTTGAGAAATAGGACACTGGAAGAAAAAATGTCCACAGTTATCTGAGGAACAGGACGATCCTAAGCAGGAGGATCCAAATGAGCATGAAGGGGCTCTGTTCAATCTAATGGAAGGGCCACTGAACTAAAAGAGGGGTGACAGGTCTTATATGCCCCCAAAGAGCCCATAGTCCGGACGATAGCCCTGTAACCCCCCATTGAAAGGAACGAGGCCAGTGTTGTTAAATCGATTAAGGTATTAAGAGAACAGACTTTCTTGTACTTAATGAATTGCCCCTGCTCCACTTCTCCAGCAAAACCTGTTGTGCAAATCGAGGGCCACTATCCCATTCAATAAAGGAGACTACCTGCAGCTAAAACTGCCTCAGTTGGGGGTCATCCAGGCTCTCACTGTCCCTTGGGAAGCAGGGTGGAGGCTTCCTAGCCATAAGCAGAGGACTGATATTGTCCCCCAGGCCAGTGCAGGGTTTGCATGGCTTTGCACCCAACTTATACATGCAGTTTGGATTATTGCCAGCAGCGGAGAGTTGGTTCACTTAATTGGACTTAAAGAATACCTCCTTAGCATTGGACTGGCCTTGAAGGGGCAAAAGTATTTGCATTTCAATGGGAGAAACCCAGAAGCAGGCGTAACCACTCAATATACCTGGACAAAGCTTCCCAGGGGGTCAGAAACTCTCTCATCATCGTTGGGGAGGCATCAGCCTGTGACCATCCCCCAGAAGCTTCTTGCTTGCATGCTGCCTCTGTATGCTGATAACCTTCTATTGGGACACCCCACGGCAGTCGGGTGTGCAAACAAATGCCTTACTTCAGCACCTGGAGGACTGTGGGTATAAAGTGTCTAAAAGGAAAGCCCTGATTGCCAAAAAGCAAGTGCAGTATCTGAGGCTCACCATCTGGAAGGGGGAACACAGCCTAGAAGCAGAGAGGAAGCAAGCTGCTTGCAAAGTAACAGAACCTGAGACAGAAAAGCAGGTGAGAGAGCTCCTGGGGGCGGTGGGTTTTGTAAATTGTGGATTTCCAAACTTTGTAGTACTGGCCAAACCCTTACACACAGTGACAAAGGAGGGAAGGGAGAAGACAAGACACCCCTCGAATGGAGCAGAAGCTAAAAGTGAAACTTTTGTCAGCCCTGGCTTTGGGGTTAGCCGATTTTAACACAGCCTTTTCATGCTGTCAAAAAGAAAAAAAAAAAAAAAGGAAGAAGAAAAATGGCAATCAAAGATTCTAGCCTCAACTCTGGGAAGAATTTAAATATCAAAGCACCCCACACAGTGGTGACTCTAATGAATACCAAAAGACCTCATTGGTAAGCCCCAAATACCAGGACCCACTATGTGCAGTGGTTGTATAAGCTATACATAAGACCACTTGTTTAGGTCAAGAGTCACTTGAAAAGATGCTCAGTCAGTACTTTAACATCTTACACTTATCAGCCTTAACTAAAACTGGCACAGCTATGCATTCATTACATGTTGGCAACACAACGTAAGGCAGGGTCCCCACTATTCTCCCCGGCATTCAAGCTTATGGAACAGCTCTGTTTAAAGATCTCCAGGTAGACTTTACTGAAATGTCCAAGTGTGGGGGGCATACGTATTTGTTGGTCCTGCTATCCACATACTCTGAGTAGGATTGAAAAGGCCCATGAAGTAATCTGAGTGCTGCTTCGAGACCTTATCCCTAGGTTTGGACTGCCACTGCACATCAGATCAGACAACGGACCAGCATTTGTGGAGGATTTAGTCCAGAAAACAGCAACGGCCTTGGGTATCACCTCGAAACTGCATGCTGTCTACCGACCTCAGAGTTCCGGAAAAGTGGAAAAATGAATCAGACCATCAAAAACAGCTTAGGGAAAGTGTGTCAGGAAACAAGATTAAAGCGGGTGCAGGCACTTCCCTTGGTGTTATTCAAAATTAGAGGCACCTCCTTTAGGAAAAACAGGATATTCCCCTATGAAGTCTTATACCATAGGCCCCCTCCCCTACTCTGGGCACTCCTAGAAACTCCTTGGGAGTGGGGAGAGATTGAGTTAGGATGCTAGTTACTAGCCCTAGGGAGAATCGCTTAGGATACTTCAACCTGAGTAAATAACAAATGTTCTGTAAGCCTTTTTCTCCCCAGTTCACCCTTTCTTACTAGGTAATCATGTGTGGATAAAGGACAGGAGTACAGTCCCTCTAAAGCCACAATGGAAAGGACTTCAGACCTGATCCTGATCAATCCCACAGCTGTGAAAGTAGAGGAAATCCCAGCCTGAATCCACCACAGCTGTGTAAAAAAACCAGCAACACCTGAGACTTGGACCAAGGCAAGGTCTGCAGAATCACCTTAAAAAGGACAACAAGCCTTTCTCCAGCCACATCCCAGAGGCTGGCTGGTCCACGCATGGCCGAAGCATGAGGAAATTCATTGTGGGACTTGTTCTTAATATTTGGACTTGTACAGTAGGAGCATTAACTACTTTTAAAGAATGCCCTCAGTATGTACACCAGGTAGAGCATAAAACTCTCTGCCATTCTTTTGTCCTGCAGTTCTTATAAATGTACGGGGACACAGAAGGGATCCTGTTTATATAACGGTACTCAATATAAGGTGTGTAATCCATGAGATGGACAGGTAGCTGTGTCATAGGCATCATTAAGCCCTCTTCCTTCCTGTTATCTGTTAAGACAGGTGGGCTGTTAATGTATTCAGTCTACTCCGCTAGAGAGCAAAAGAAACCTAAAGATAGGAAAATGGACAGATAAGTAGCCACTGGAGGAAACTATTAAGTATTATGCGCCAGCTACATGGGCAGAGGATAGCTCATGGGGATACCAGACCCCTATTTACATGCTCAACCGGATCATCCAGTTGCAGGCTGTTTTGGAAATACTCACTAAGGAAACGGGCAAAGCTCTGTCCCTTTTAGCCCAATAACAACAACAAAAAACTCAAATGAGAAATGTGATTTATCAGAACTGGCTGGCCCTAGATTATTTGCTAGCAGCTGAAGGAGGCGTCTATGGAAAATTCAATCTAACCAACTGCTGTCTGCACATAGATGACCAGGGGCAAACAGTGGAGGATATTGTGCGAGACATGACTAAACTGGCACACGTGCCTGTAAAGGTGTGGCACGGATTTAACCCTGAGTCCTAATTTGGAGG